GGTTGAATTTCTATAGCACCTCCCCTCAAAAAACTCAAAAGTACTTTTTTATTTTAATCTGTTTCATGGCTGTGACCTTGTTTGTGATTTGAAGTCTCCCTGAGGAAATTATCATAATGACAGAAGAATTTGAGAGAGAAAAGTCAGAGGACTAACCCCTACTCACTGAGTTGGGTCTCTGACATCTGATAGACACACCTGAAAAGAAAAACAAAATACACTCTATTTCTTTAAATACACTTCTTTCATCTAAGATCTCACAGCACTGAACTTGGTAAAATAGTGAAATTTTTCAGAAGCAAATTAATAAGCACAGAGTGATAAGGTCAAGCCCCAGTTCACAGAGCACCCACAGCAGGTGAAGGCAGGACATTAGAAAAGATGGTGCTCAGGGTCTGGAGTCCCTCAGGCTTCAGGTAGATGGACCCACATAAAGCCACCCTGACCAGCCTGGTCCGTGTGGAGCCCAGCACCATTAGGGTGGATGACCCACATGAGACTGCTTCCTAATAGGTCTGCTCCAGCAGAAGTTTTGCAAGAGAATAGGCATATAGGGAGGGACTCAGAGTCCTGATGCTCAAACTTAATTTCTGGCCCCACCAATTGGGATTTGGGGCCAGGCACTTCATTGTATCAAAAATCCACATTCATCCCACTTAGACTACTGGGTAACAGGAAGTGGCGGGGGGGGGGTAGGGAATGCAGATGGAGGGCTTGTAGCACACTGATTTGCAAACTAAAACGTTCTGAGTAAATAAAGGCATGGATTCACACTGAAATCTGATTCACAAGCTTCCTGGAGTCTTAGCAATTTTATGCTTTAGGATTCTTTGTCGAATGTGAAATGCATCCTAAATTAAACTACAGTAGCAAAACTGAGAATTCTTAAAACAACATAAACTCTTCATATGCAAGATGGATGTGTGATTCGGGTGTGTATTTGCAAGGTACCCAACAGTAAGAGTCCCTATCAGGCTCTAGTCTGGGTCTACAGGCCAAAAACAGAGGTTAGAAGTCATCATAATCCCTAAGCAGAGAGCTTCCAGATCCTAAACCTTACAAGAGCCACAGATTTGGACTAACTTCCTCTCCAAGCAGCCATATATGGTTCTGAGTCATTTCACAGCCACAGACTGTGGCTAGAAGAGTGGGTGCAGGAGTCTCCCCTACCCAAAAACAATTTGAGAGATAATTACTCCCCAGCAAGAAACTGGAAGTAGTCCAGTTTTCTCAATATCTTTTGGACGGGAAAAGTGACTTGAAGTCAAGGCATAACTTACCAGGTTCCTTTTATACTGAGTGTCATGAAAAGTATCACCCACCCTTCTTCCCACTCTGCTCTATCTCCATCCTCCTCTTAGTGACTGTAGCTGAGGCTGGAAACTCAAAGAAGCAGTCTCCTGCTTCCTAACTCAACCTAGTATGGAGCAAAAGCATTTCTTTACAAAGTAAAAATGACTAATGATCAGGGGATCTGGGTCTAAAAAGAGAGGGTGGAAATCATGCAATGCAATATGACTTTCATTTGGGAATGTTCTACAAAGTACATTTTAAATACCAAGCAAAAACTGCTAGGCCAACTTTCTTAAATGACTTGAGCAAAAACTTTAAGCCTCAGTCAAGCCATCTCATGGGCTGATTGAGCTTTAAAGTTTGAATGTACTAAAGGAGTTCACATTAAAAACTCAGTCAAAGAGGTACTGATGAAAAATCAAAGTAAAACATGTAAATGTATCCACAAGTTCTGGTCAAAAGTGTTTAAGGATCTACAATTTAGGAAAAAAACTGCTCAGAAGTTTATAAGTTAATGTTGTAAACCAAATAAAAAGTACAACTACTCTGGAAAGCAGTATGGAGATTCCTCAGAATGCTAAGAATAGACCACCATATAACCAGCTATCCCACTGCTTGGCATTTATCCAAAAGAACTAAAATCATCGTAGTATACTGACACATGCATACTATGTTTATAGCAGTGCAATTCACAATAGCCAAGTTGTAGAACCAGCCCACATGACTGTCAAAAGACTCATGGATAAAAAAAAAAATGTGGTATAAATCCGAAATTAATTTTTTTAGGATAAAGAAAATGTGGTATATATACACAATGGAATTCTACTCAGTCACAAAGAACAATGAAATTATGTTATTTACTGGAAAATGGATGGAACAGGAGAACATCGTGCTAAACGAAATAAGCCAGACTCAGAAAGTTGGATGAAATGTTTTCTCTAATATGTGGAAGCTAGAGAGAATAAAGAAATAACAAAAGGGGATCTCATGAAAATAGAAAGGACATCAGGAGAGTAAAGGTGGGGGACCTAAGGGGAGGGAGAAGGGGCAGGAAGGGGTAAGAACTGGGGAACAAATATGTACATGTATGTATGAACATATCACATTCCCATATATATGTACACATATGTGTGTGTATATATACATATACACATATACACACATATATACACACATATGCACCAATTTAAAAATAAATAAATAAATAAGAGGAAGACCAATAGAGGAAGGGGATCAGGGAGTGGGAAGGGGATAATACTGGGGATTGAAATGGAGAAAACTATGCTGTATTCATTTATGAATATGTCAAAATTAATCCATTATGTATAACTACAAAGCACTAAAAATTTTAAATATGTAGCTGGGCATGGTGGCACATACCTATAATTCCAGCAGCTTGGGAGGCTGAGGCAGGAGGATTATAGGTTCAAAGCCAGCCTCAGCAACTTAATGAGGTCCTAAGCAACTCAGTGAGACCTCGTGTCTAAATAAAATACAAAAACAGGCTGGGGAGGTAGCTCAGCGGTTAGGTGCCCCTCGGTTCAATCCCCAGTACCAAAAAATATATATATATTAAATATTTTTATGAATCACAAGAAGAAAAATGTGGAAAATCAGTACAGTAGAAGAAGAAAAGGACAGATAGTGAGAAGGTTCTAGGGAACAAAATTGGCCAAATTATATTGTTTTATTGTGTGCATGTACCAGTACGTAACAACGAATCCCACTCTTATGTATAACTATAATGCACCAATAAAAAAATAGAAAAAGAACTGTGAAAAACAAAACCAAAAAAGAGGTGGAAAAACACTTGGTGTCATTCTATGATTTCCTCCATTACATTATTTCTGCTTTCCCTTCACACTTGGTTTACATTCTGAATCCCAAACCACCAAGCTTCTAAAAACTGCTACCTTATAAAACCTGCTATTCACAGAAAGAACCATTGCCAGAATAAAGAGGTTAAAGCACCAGATCCTCAAACCAGACACCACCCCATTCCAGGACCAGGTGACCCCTCATTAGGCACATCTCTACACGCTCTGCTGCATTGGGTGCAGGAGAACCTTTGCTGAGCCAAACCAACTGATAGGGTCCCTCATCTCAGAGAAGTTTCCAGTACTTCAACTTGCTTCCTGTTTTGTGTTTTGTTTCTTAATGTTAAGGTTGTTTTTCTGTTGTTTTAGAGTATGAAGACTTCTTAGGAAAGTTTGGGGAGATACTCAACAACTATTTCCATTTAGGGTTGCGGACACAATTCAGGTGGTTATCTGCATTTAAATGTCAAGCCACACTTCGATGCAATAAAATGAAATGTGTTACGCTAACAATTTTCTAGCAGCAGGTAGGGTCCAAATTGGTTCTCAGCGGGTTGTGGTTATTATTAAGGTGAGAAATCTTCATTGTGATTAGTGAACAATATCATATTGCTTATCTGTTGAGCTCTTTAATAAACCTGACATTTCTATTGATATTTAGTCAAAATAATACATTAGTTGTGTTTCATTTGGCCTAGGGTTTATGGACATAGACTTAAAAGTTTATTTAATAGAAGGGTTCACTTAAGATGAAAGTTAGGGGGAAGACTTACAATGAATACAACAATTTAAGAGCTATGAAGAGAATTAGAGACAGAAAGAAAGATCTCAGCAAATGAAAAATGATTAATACATGCCCCCATAGTTTTCTCACAAGATTTCCTGAGCATTCCTGGTACATTATAGTGCAATCTAACTCTGATAAATCAATAGTATCCTTAGTTTTCTCAAGCAAAAGTATGTATACTTCCAGAATATATAGGCTGAACAAAACATAGAATAGTATATGATCTTTTAAAACACTACTAATTTGAACTTCTATAAATATATTTAAATAAAAAACATAGATGGCTATTCACAAAGCACACCGTGACACATGAGCTTACAAAAATAAAACAATCATGTTAAAATCTTTAGGTTTTGAGTCCCCCACTTCCAATACAGATACTAAAACAATTCCGATGCCAGAATCCTCTTTCCAATATTGATCCCAGGAAAACTGGATATAAATCCATACTGTTGATGGGGACCAAGCCAAAGACAAAAGCAGCAGAATGTTCCTTGTTGGGCCTGTTAAGACCCTCTACAATCAATCCCGTAGGGAGGCCAAGGAGGAGCAGTGGTCTCCAACTGTGAGGAGTAGTTTTTTTCTAACTGCTGTGACAAAAGATACATTAACCATATCCCCCCATCCAGGTAAATGTGAAAATACCACCCAGTCCTGAGTGAGTGTAACACAGCACACATCCCCTCCTCGGGCCCTCCTACATACCACTCTGGAAAATATTTCTCAACAAGTGGAAAAAGGACCACTCTTCTATAGCAAAGGCAAAGGATTTTTGTTCCACAGTCCCACTGTGACCTGTTCCAGCTGTTGCTATACAAAGCACACCTCCATTCAAAGAATGCTTTGGAGTACTCTGTGGCCCGTCAGTAGAGAACGTTCATGCTTCTTGGGGGAAGAAATGATACTTCTATGACTCATTTTCCCGAGTAAAATTGGATCTTTTGTGCACGGTACATTGTGATTCTCTTGAAAGCAGGGGATGGAAGATAGGTTTCTCACATCCCACCTACAGCCTACCATCTCCATGACAGAATCATGTCTGCTCAGCTGAACCCCATCACTCCAGGCTCGATGACGGTGAAACTCCATGGGGAACCGGGAGTCCTGCTGCATCTGGTAACTGTCTTCAGCTAAGCTGCAGAGGGGAACTTCAGTTTTCCCATCACGGAGAAACAGAAGCTCCTGCAACATCTTTGTAAAGTTGCTTTCAGTAAAATACAAGAAGAGAGAATTCTGGCTTTTTCTCAGATAGAATTTTCCAGACAGGCCGGTGAAGGGGGCTCCGTGAGTTCCTGTGGTGCGCCTTCAGGTTCACTTGGGGCCTGATGCTGCTGATAGATGTCCTGGATCAGGAGGGTGTTCATGACCTTCCACTCTCTGTACTTCCTGGCTGTTAGTTTCGGATCATCCAGCAACTGGTTGATCATGGCCAGATCATGTTCTTTACACTGCCCAGGAAGAAAAGTGGGAGCACAGGGGGATGTCGTGAGCATCTGAATTTCAATAAATTATCTTCACCCACCCTCTGCGAAGGCATGGGTACATTCATAAAATTATCAAAGTGATTTGACACATCAATATTTGAATCCTTGCACCGGGCCTAAGCAATCCGACACCACCTCTGTTTATATATGATGGCCATAAGGAAATTAAGTATCTTCCCAGGAGTTAGGGGGAGAATTAGACAGGAGCCCAGGTCCTCTATACTGCTCTGACCTGATCTGTCCGTGACTTACACCCCAGGAATGACCCTGACTTGGTGTTAGCATAACTGTACACCTCCAGGAGCTGAGAATTATATGCAAAAGCATTTCATTGACACCCCCGAAACTTCACTAAGTAAAACTAGGACAAACACTTTAACGCATAAAGGAGCACAAAGTATGTCTTTTTAAAATTTTTCAGTTATTACATTCTTAATTGTTTTTTGATAAATTGTATTTAATCAGCATATATAGAATAAACAGGCGGGTTATCTTTTTAGTCAAGAAACACCAACCTCATATCAAAATGGCATGTATTCCAAAAATGCTGATAGAGTAAAAATTCCATTAGTGCTATTTTATCTGCCTCCTCAGAAAGCAGTGACTCACATTTTTTTTTTTAATTGTCTGCCTTGGGTTACAGTTTTCTGAGTCAAGGAATGGAGTAAAAAATAATATACATCATTTTCCATACTAAAATAAGTAGATCACTCAGCTCTTGACAATTTTATCTCAAGTGGTTTTCTTGGTCCCTAGGACCCGAGTCCTTATTTTGGAGGCACAGTCCAGTATATCCCATGTGCTCTGCCACCGTGACCTCCTAAGTGAGGGCCCCGCCCCAGCCCCCACTTTACAGCCACATTCTGCAGGGCAGAGCAGAGCAGGGAGGCGTCCACCTGCCGAGTCCTCTTGATGATTTCCCTGTGTCCCAGGCCCCTCACCAACCTCGGCTGCATTTGTTGATATTCCCCTCCCTCTACCTTTCTACGCTGACAGTATTGACCTGCAAAGGCTGGTGCATGCCTCCATGAAGCCAAGTGGCATCCAACGGACTTTAATTTCCAGAGCTGCTTTTACATGGAATGCCTTCTAATCTTCCTTTACCCAATTTTTCCACTTACCTCAAACATCTACACTGCTTCAAGCAGCATGTTCCCCAGAAAACCATCCCTAGACTCCCCAAATTGGATTATGGAGCTTCTTCCTTTTTATACTCTCCTGCCATCAGATGCTCTGAACCTACCGTGGTGTATATAGATGCTCTTGGATCTGCCACGCTGCCTATTCTAAAGCTTAAAGAAGGTGACAGGGGACATGTGTTCCTCACTGCTGTACACTCAGCACCCAGCGCAATGCCATGTGCCATGTACACACTCAGCACGAGGGAACCACTCCCTCTGCCCACCCCAGGGAAGCATGTGTAGCTAGAACTTCCCAACCATGCTTGCTGGTCTCCCTCCCAATTCAGGGCGACTGCTGGTAAGAGGACTTTCCCTGCTATCCAGTAATCACACTTTCACTTTTCTTTTCTCTCCCCATCTCCAAAGGAACTGTTTCAAACTTGTCACCTTACTGGGCACAGTGGCACACACCTGTAATCCCAGCAGCTCGGGAGGCTGAAGTGGGAGGATCACAAGTTCAAAGCCAGCCTCAGCAACTCAGCAAGGCCCTAAGCAACTTAGTGAGATCTTGCCTCAAAATAAAAATAAATAAATAAATAAAAAACAAAGCGCTTGGGATGCAGCTCAGTGGTTAACTGTCCCTGGGTTCAATCACTGGTACCAATAAAATATTTTTAAAAATTTTAAAAAACACTGTGATCTCATCTTGCAGCAGCCCTTTCACCTCACGCACAGCTGATGACTTTGCTCTGTATTTTTTGAGGAAATGAAAATAATCAGAAAAGTACTCCCAAGTTCCTATCACTCACTACCTACATCAGCAGAGACGTAGGCGCCTACCCTCCGGTTCATACAGATAAAATGTCTGTGCTCCTCGCAAAGCCAGTCCCTCCACGTGGACACCACTGCCCCTGCTCTCCTGTGACTCGCCAACTTCCCACCTCTGCTGGGTCATTCTCCCAGGCTACCTGCACACGGCTCCTTCTCCCACTTTAAAAGTCCCCTCTGACCCAACCCCTATCCAATCACCCTCCATTCTTCTCCTTGTCCCCCGTGTCCCTGTGCCCATCTGTCACAGACACTCCTGCCAGGTTTCTGCCCCCTACCATCCCACCAAAACTGCTCCTGTGAAGGCCAAGAGTGACCCCCACGTTGCTGACATCAGACACAGTGGAGCAGGAAGAAACCAAAGAGGGACATCAAGCCGTGGTCCAGGACCCAGAAGCGGAAGAAAGAAAGGGAGGGTAGATAAGCAGAGGGTTGTTTGTGGAAGTCAGGCAAGGCCCAGAGAGTTTTATTTCTTTTCTTCTCAGTTCCCAATATTTATGCTTCAAAAAATTCTTTTTCAAATAAAATATGAATAAATAATAAGCTTTCATCTCTGACAGCCCCTCAGTGCTATTAATATGAAGTGATTCAGGGAGTTTTATGTTTTCTAAAGAAACTTAGACATCTGCTTCAGAGGGAGATCTTAATATTTTATTGAGAAAACTAAATAGAATCTTTGAAGATTAATGAAAATTTGGGAAATTGATTTTTAAAAGGCAAGAATGAATTAACTGCCACTTTAAAACTGATAAAAATTTGGGGGAAAAATTAAAGGTCTTTGGGAATGAGGTTAACACTTCTCACTTGGTTTCCTGCTCTAAACAATCCAAATTTCTTGCTATTTGGGTGAAATCTGTGTTAGATCTTGTATAGATAAAAGAAAAAACTATGAACAAGAATACAGAAGTAAGCTGGGCACGGTGGTGCATGCCTGCAACCCAGCACCTCGGGAGGCTGAGACACAAGGATCAAGAGTTCAAAGCCAGCCTCAGCAATGGCGAGGCACTAAGAAACTCAGTGAGACCCTGTCTCTAAATAAAATACAAAATAGGGCTGGGATGTGCTTCAGTGGTCGAGTGCCCCTGAGCTCAACCCTTAGTACAAAAAAAAAAAAATTAAAAAATACGGAAGCAGGGCATTAATGACAGGGCAAAACCTTCTGATCTCCTTCCCAGGCAAAGTGCCCTGAGGGCCAGAGCCTCACACAGTGGCCCTGTTCCTCCTGGCTGTCGCACAAAGCTATTGAAGTAGCTATCAAAGGCTACTTTGCCAAGGTCCACCTTTCTTTATGTCAGGCAAGCAAGGTTTCAGGGTCGCCATAATGCCAGGAAAGAGAGAATGTGGATTTTTCCATTTATCCTCCAAATATTCAGTTCATGGTCTGACTCAAGAGCTAAGCATGTTGGCACAGTGCCCATCAGTGCAGCTTCAGGGAAGGCAGGGTTCATTCCTGGTGAAATAGGCCAGAGTGACTGAAGGAGTTTCCTTCTGCCCCACTAACCATTCTATTAATCATTCATTTTAAAATAAAGACAGGCTTACTCAAAAGTCCATGAATGTTGAGCTAGCAGAAATTCCAAAAGAAATCCATTTATAGTGTATGACATAACAGTTTGCTCAACTTCCAAGAATTTCCCCAAAGAGTATGCATTCCAATAACATCCCAATGAAGGGATTTTTCTTTATGGAATGCACCTAGTACTAACATAAACATTATTACTACAACATTTTCTTTGTTTCTGCATGAAACTGCTGCTCTTGCTTCACCCCATTCCACCTTTGAAGTATTTTTTTTTTCTTGGTACTAGGGACTAAACTCAGGGGCACTCAACCACAGGGGCACAACCCCAGCTCTTTTTTTTTTTTTTTTTTTTTTAAGAGACAGGGTCTCACTGAGTTGCTTAGTACCTCACCATTGCTGAGGCTGGCTTTGAACTCGCGATCCTTCTGTCTCAGCCTCTCAAGCCATGGGGATTATAGGCATGCATCACCGTGCCCAGCTTGAAGCATTTTTTAAACCAACCTTTTATTACAATGCAACTTTTTATTACACAGAGAAAAGTGCACAGACAGAAAAATTTGTGCTTGATGAACTATCACCATATAACCATATCCATGTAACCATAACAAGGGTCAAAAAACGACCCTTACCCAGCACATCTGAAGCTCCCCTTGTTGCCCCTCCCAGCCAAATCCTCTTCTCCCTCAAGGACAACTGAAACCCTGCCTTTTTTTTTTTTTTTGGTACTGGGGATTGAACCCAGGGCCTTGTGCATACAAAGTAAGCACAATACCAACTGAGCTATGTCTCCAGCCTAACTGCTTTGAATTTTAAAAAGAGATAAACAGTAATTACTATTATAGCTTTTCAACATGAATAATCACRTATGCTAATTTCTCTTTCCCCATTGGATAAGCTGATGTGCTTCATTTTTGTTTGCTATTTGTTTTTCACCAAGGCCAATTTCCACATCATCCTCTCCTCAACCTCCTGACCTCGACAGGTCCACATGACATGGACTACTTTCATCAGCCCTAGAACAAGACCTAAAGGGTCTATGGAAAGGGCTGTTCTCCTCAAGTGAATAGAGGGCAGTCCAGCGGGCCATCGGAGGCAACCCTATCTTGGAGCCTAATGTCCATATGTCCTGAGATTCATCTCCTTGTATAATCCCTTCCCTGAGTGTGGACCTCCCTAATGACATGCTTTTCTACTAAACAGAACACTCTAGAAATAAGGTGATGTGGACTTCTAACTCATGCTGCTTGTTCAGTCTCGCTCTCTTGCTCACTCTGAGAGAAGCCAGCTTCCAGGCTGCGAGCTTCCTATGAAGGCATCCATATGGCAGGGAACTGAGGGTGGCCTCCAACCAACAGCCAGAGAGCAACAGAGACCCTCAGTCCAACAACCTGCAAAGAACAGAGACCTGCCAACAACCCAAAGAGAACGTAGAGGCAGATCCTTCCCAGGGGAGAAATGAACACAGCCCTGGGGGACACCTTCGTCACAGCCTCATGGCCTGTTTATTCACAGATGCAGAAGCTTGTCCAAGCCATTCCCCAATTCCAAAACCACAGAAAGTCTGAAATAGTAAATGCTTATTGTTGAAGTTGCTAAGTTTGGGGGTAATTTGCTACCTAGCAACAGATTACCCAGTAATATACTGGGAGAAAAGGAAAAGTTGCTGAGTTCATTGATGATGTGGCCAAACTGCACAAAAAAACCACCTGTCACAGAGGGCCCTATGGACTTCTTTGGTTGGCGCATGCCTCTGTGAAGGTCTGACATCTTTAGTCCATTGCCCTATGGAGAGTCAGGGGCCACGGTCTCTCTCCTGCAAATGGTCCATGTGGCTCCTGGTCTCCTTAGCCGCTACCTCCTATTTCTCCCAACATGGGGAGTAGTGTATCTTCTACTGATAGACACTGCGCTTCCTGGAAGGCCCTTCCCTTTCCTTCCCGATACTCTTCATCTCTCTCTCACTGACCAGTTGTCATTCACTGACCTGACGGTCAGTCACTTCCCTTCTCTGGGCAAACAAACCCCCAAGATCATCTCCACTGCATTCACACCACACTGGGTTCTAGCTGTGTGTTCTTCTCTCTGTTTCCATTTGCCCAGGGTTTTTCACCCCATGGTCACCCTGACCTAGACTAGTGCCTGGTACACATTATGATTCAGGAAATGCTGCTTGATGAAAAGTTATTTACTCATCTCCGTTTTTGCAGACAAAGACAAATAGTAAAATTCTAACATACTATGGCATATTACACTGAGTGACTCACCACATTAATCAATTCTGTACACACTGTGGAATAAATGCTAGTAATATATTTCCATCATTTAATATTAGGGAATTTCTCTGCACTTGGAGTTTCTTTGTATAATTAAAAATACACTTTTTTTTTCCAACTTCATTTTTTCAGCCTTTAGTGCTATTGACTTGCTGTTGACTTACTGGAATTCTGACTAACAAGAGCCCTTCGGCCATGTCTTTGTAGCCTTGTTCTTTTGATTGCTGACATTTCTTTCAGGAAAAGGACTCAAATTCTTAATGCAAAGGGACATGAGCAAAACAGAATTAAATTGCAGGACCTATCAAGGCTTTTCAGAATCTACAAATGTTCTGCTCATTTAGGACTATAAGTCTCCTGGCTTTCTCCTGCTCATGTTATAATCTAAATGGGAAAGCAGGAGGCTTTTGTTATAAAGAAGCATTTTAGTTATGGGAGACCCTGAAAATAGCTTCAGTACATCCTGTGCACGGTCCCTCTCTCCCATTGTGAAAACATCTGCTCCTCTGTTACCACAAGATGTCTGCTGCTCACTGCCGGGCTCTCGCGGTGTTACTTGGCTGCAAGTCCTACAGCTGAAAGTCTTTGCTGTACCAGAAAATGAGGACTTTCTCCCAGATATAGCTCAGAAGAATGGCACCCTCAAAAGAATCAGGTGAAAACCCAAGAGCTGATTCTCACCCACTGATGATCTCCGTCTGTAGTCAACAGTTCCTGAGCCAGGTGCTGTGCTCGGGGACACCTTAGTCACAGCCTCCTGGTCATGTTCATTCACAGATGTAGACGCTTGTCCAAGCCATTCTCAAATTCCAAAACCACAGAAAGTCTGAGATAGTAAATACCTATTGTTGAAGCTGGGGATTTGGTTGCCAGGTACAGTAATTTTACTGAATGTTTGTCTTTGTCTGCAAAAAAGTGAGGCAGAAGGGCTACAAAAACAAATGGTGTGTGGTCCTTGCCATGTAGGAGCTTAACATGTGAAATTTCATAGCAGAGTGAAAGTAAAAGGAAGGCCTACTGTGGAAAAACACCCTGGGTGCCACTGTGGAAATGTCCTAGTGACTGAAGGATGTCCAGGGTCACCTTACTCTCTAAAGATCCCACTTACCCTTACTGACCTGGCCTCCACCCCCACAAACACACCGTTGTTATCATGAACCTCTGCGGAGCCCGTCTTTCTTTGCCTCACATCCACAGAGTTTATCCACAGTCTGAAACCGTCTTACCTTCAATGTGCTATTCAAGGTTCGAATTTTGTGAAGTTTCTCATTGATGGATGGGTTCTTGCACCGTTTCACAAATGACTTTCTCAACTCCTTCTTGGTCGAAGGCCGGCGGTCCCCAAGTGGAGACAGACTCGCTTGCTCTAATGATTTGTAAAGTTTCTCCATTTCATCATCTTCAGGTGCTTTTGTTTCTTCTATTAAAAAGAAGAAGAAGAGATAACAACAAAACCAGTTAAAACAGGAAGAAAACATTAGACACTGTGGTCCTACCTGCTGATACCTGCATCTCAGACTGAGCTCCAAAACTAGAGGAAAATGTTTTTGTTTTGTTTTGTGTTTTCTTGTCTAAGCCGTGCTCTCTTTGAAAATCYTGGAGAAGGAACTGTTCGAGGCCCCTCTTCCTGCCTCTGTTGGTTCCTCCCTTGGTTTGTGGCAGCTTAACTCCAGTTCACATGGTATCTTCCCTGCCTGCATGTCACTGGGTCCAAACCTCCCTTTGAATAAAGACACCAGCCATAATGGAATAAAGGTTCAATAACGCCCTCATTTTGAAGAATTGCAACAACATTTTCCAATAAGGTCACCTTCTGACATACTGGGGGAAGGCAATGGGGACTGCAACATGAGTTCGGGGGGCACATAATTTAGTGTAAGAGTCTACCTGCTGCCCCCTCAAATTCACTTCCTTCTCACATGAAAAATATCTTCATTCCAGTCCAACATCTCCTCAATTATCCACGTCAACATCAACCCTAACACCAAAATCTCATCCAAATGTCATTAAAGTTGGGTATTGGTGAGATCCTGGTACAAAWTATTTCTCCAGCTTTGGACCTGTGAAACTAGATAAATCAAATCTGCTTCTAAAACACCAGGTGGAACAGGCAAGCCCTGCAGGTTAACACACACTCCCAACTTTGAACACCATGGCCTTGGATGACCGCTGGGTGTCCTTCTCAGAACTGCCCTTTGAGAACGATGCCAGCCTGTGGTCTGTGGTTGTGGGCAGAGAACGGCCATTCGTCACTMTGCACACACTCTCCTCCCCTCTCCACCATATCTTCCCCTCCCCGGCCCACATGAAGTGACTAGTCATGCAGCCCACAGTGCTGGTCACAGTCCATGACTCAGTGATGAGCAAGGGATTCAGGTCAAGCCAATGAGGCCAGGAAGACGCAGTTCCAGGACTTCATTTCAGGGGTATCAGAGAAGCATCTCTCTTACACAGAATGCTGTGGTGACGTGAGCTGGAAGTTTTCAGGTGGCATCCCAAGAACAACCAAGCTAATCCACTCTGAGACATGGCTTTTGATGAGACCACTGGTGCCCTCTTGGCCTGTGGRAGCCAATCTCTCATCTTGGTTAAGCTCCTCTGGATATGGGTTTCAATCCTGTAAAACTGTACAGACCTCCAATGATGCCCAGGTCACCCAAAGAAAAYCATGCCTTGATGTTGCCTTAATTTCTCACACAGAATTTCAATCATGTATTCTTTTCCTTCCCTGAAAATAATTCAGGGAAAGATCCACAGCAATATTCCTTTTTCTACCATGTGCTCTTTAGTGCTTATAATGCTTTACATCCTGTCCTGAGAACAAACCCGAGAGACCTACACAAGAGAACCCGAACAAAACAGGCTCATCGAGGAGAAGAGAGAAGCATAGAACAGCACTCTAGGAGCCCGGAATCAAGCAAACTCCATTCACTTTAAGGTTCACTCCACTAAGATTAGGAATCCTGGAGCAAGAATTAGTTTTCTCCCACCAATCCCAGAAAGTTACCACGAGGGCTCCCAACAGTCTTGTAAAATGGAGAGCAAAGATGATGTATTAACTTTCTCACTGACTTAAAGTACAGAACCGCACAACCTCTTTGTTCTCTAACAAAAGTAAGGGAGAAGATATTTAAAACTGTAGCTGAAGATAATTAGGCTTTTTGGCTCAGGCTAGGGGCAAGCATCAAAAGTGGACCTTTGTCTACAAGAACATGATAAGATGCTCCACCTCACTGATCATTAGAGAAATGCAAATCAGAACCACAATGAGATGCAACTTCACACCCACAAGGATGGCTAAAATAAAAAAGAACAAACATGAAGTGTGGTCAAGGAGGTAGAGAAATTGAAATCCTCCTGCCTCGCTAGCACAGATGTAAACTGTAACGCCCACTTTGGAAAAAAGAGTGACCATTCCTCAAAATCCTAAACCCAGAGTTACCATGGGATGCTACAATCCCACTCTTGTTGATGTGTGGAGACAGTGACAAACATGTTCACACAATTGTGCAGGGATGCTCACGGCAGCATTATACATAACAGATAAAGAGGGGGAAGAGCCTAAATGTTCATCCACAGGCGAGTGGATACACAAAATGTAGTGTATGTCTAAGGGAAAATTATTTAGTTATTAAAAGAAATGAAATACTAAACACTCACAATGCTGCAACATGAACAAACCTTGGAATCATTATGACAGCCAAAAGTAGCCAGTCACAAAAGACCATATCCAGTATTATCCCGCTTATATGAAATGTTGAGCACAGGCAAATCCACAGAGACAGAAGGTAGAACAGTGGCTGCCTGGAGTTTGGGAGGAGGCAAGCAGGAGTAAGGAGGTCAGCTAATATTGTAGGGTGTTTTTGGTGGTGCTGAAAATGTTCTCGAATTAAATTGTGGTGACAGTTGCCCATCTCTGTGAATGTACCTAAAACCACTGAACTGTACACCTGTGCATGCATTTTATGGTATGGGAAACATATCTCTGTACAGTTGTAACATTGTAGGCTTTTATGAGGCTGTCATGATATCTGATAATATGTCCACAGCAGAAACTGTAAGCATGAAATAGTCCCTGGGTAACGGAAGACATTAAAATGTCTTCAGAAAATTAAATGGAAAGACATCTTATTTACAGAAGAGACATTAGGATTGAAGGTTTGGAGTTTTCAGACCAACAAGGACACAATAATCTCACATGGCCTTTATTCTAAAATATATAGCCTGCCAGGTAGGACACTACTTGGAATTCAGCCTAAGTGCATAGCTTTCAATACCACGGCATTTTAAATTAGATTATATATGTATATAAAATTTAAACAAATGAAATACTACATCATAAGGCTAGAGATATGTACGTAGAACCTTCTCTGTGATCACCAGGCAGCTCCACCCTGGTCCTAAAGATGGTGCTAGAAAACAAAACTACTTTTTAATTATCATTTACTTTGCAGTTATGTCAGGGTAAGAATTATTATATAAAGATAATATATCTGACTCAATTGATATTAAATCAAGAAAGATGAAAATAATAATATTGGAATAACATGGCATTAAGCTTCTTTCCTAAATGAAAAATAAATAGGATTCTTTTACTGGACAATTTAATATTATTTAATAAATGTAAAATAAAATATGATTTTTATGTTAAAAATATCAGAAGCTGTATTTCTTCCCCTCCCCTTCTTTTCTACAACTTAAACTTTAGGTCATTATCCATGAGGATATTAGTGTGTGTGTGTGTGTGTGTGTGTGTGTGTGTCTGTGTGTGTAACACGACCCTCCAAGATAGAATTGAATTTTCAAATTAACATAGATAAAGTAAACCTGCTTAAGTTACTAAATTTAATGCAGAATTCATCCAAAATTTACATGTAATATTGAAAAGACAGTCTATTTTAATTCATCCAGAAACAAGATAATAAAGAGCAAGTATGTTCATATAAGCTTAAACCTGTCAGGGAAATGAGGAAAAAAAGACAGGCAAATTACCAGGATTTCTTCCCCCTCAAAGGAAACCTGAGGCAGAAACACTATATATTTGACTTTTAATAACCTGATTCCAGATTCACCCACAGACATAAGGAAACTAACATTACAACTGGTAACATTAGGAGTCAAGAAGAAACCTTTGTTGTTCCGTGTGCCCTTGTGTGTGCATGTGTGTGTGTACGTGTGTGTGTGTGTGTGTGTGTGTACGTGTGCTTGTGCACATTTGTCATTATTTGAGATGGAAAACATTAATACCCAGGACACACCTGCGATCCAATCAAATTCACAAGCTAGCCAGAGGCTTAAATTTGTTTTGACTGTTGCTCAGGGCTTATGCTAATGTCTTCATAGGGCCGTAAAACGAATAATAATAATACAAGAAGTTGAGGAATAGAATCTCAAGATAATAAAGGATCCAAAGGGTACAAATGCACCAAAAAAAAAAAAAAAAAAACAGAGATTGACCTTAAGCAGACGTGAGAGTCCTTCCCATTGCCATACCAAGACCAGAGCTGGCTGGCTGGTTAATCCTCTCTGGCTGTTCTTGTACTGCAAAAAGTCTTCTCTGTAAAATAATATTTGTTACAAATCCCCATTCCRTTGTTATGTAAATATTTTTCTAAATTTCATACTAGAAAGCACTAGTTTATTTTTCTTATTGTACCATATTTACAAAGAGCAAGAAAAAATGATTGGCGGAAAACACCACTAGTAAYTCTCCCATTAGAAATGGAAGCCAAGTTAATTATTTCTACCTCCTTTATCTCCTGAAGCAAAATAAATGAATTTTGGCTGACAGTGACTTGTTCCCATGCAATATTTATCCTTCCTCTCAAGTGCCTCTTTCAATTTCCCCACATAAAATAGCAGGACTTTGATTATCACTGCCAGATAGTGCACTTGATCGCACCTCACCTCACAAGTGCTTGGTCAAGGAAGATAAAAGCTATGATTTTATGGGTGGGAAAGTGAAGATTTTGGAAAAAGAGTGAGTGACTTTTTTCAATATCAGTGATGGAGTCAAGAACAAAAGTTCCATTCCACAAGGTACAGGACCATGCGCTTCTAGACCCGTGTCTTCCAAATTTAACAGGCAAACAATCTCCTAGGGAACTGGTTAAAATGCAGATTCCGCTTCAGTCCATGTGGGATGGCACTTAGATTCCCAGTTTTCCAGAAGCTCCTAGGTGATGCTGGAACTGCTGGTCCATAAACATACTTTGAACAGCACAGCTAGACATCAGCAATTTTCATGCAACATCAGCCTTGACTCATTGGAAGAGAAAGAGACTGCAGTTACAGCTAGCAAGTTGGGACTTGTCCATAAACCAGCATTTATTTTCACTCAGGGAAATAGAATCCCTGCTTAAACACATGAGCCCCTCCTATGTTGAGCAGTGAGGTCAATATCTGTGAACTTTGTGTCTG